GCGCCTCGGGAGGCGGTTTGGGAACTGAAAACGGCGCCCGGCCCCTTCCGGCTGGGCCTTGAATCAGCTCGCCTGTTGTGAGCTCACATGCTTCCATTTCCCCTGCAGACCCAGCATGGCCGCCCAAGGAGAGCCCCAAGTGCAGTTTAAGGTAAGGGACTGGTTTGTTGGTGTTGCGTGTTTGTGTTGGGTTTGTTTTTTTTTTTTTTTACACGGTAGAAAAGTAGCACGAGCGAGTCTCGAGTGCTAACGTGGACGGTAGGTTTGGTTTCGAAGTGCTGGTCTTTCCTTAACGGTGCGGTGCAGTTAGTTTATTGTAGTATTGCATATAACTTGTGCAAAAAGATTATGTTGTACTGTGTCAATCTGATGTTATTTGTAGTTTAGCGTAAGACACTTTAGTGATGATTTGCCTATAGATTTATTTTTCTTTTTTTTTAATTTCAGAAGTGAACGTCACAGCAACAAGCAAGAATTGCTTAGAGTGAATTAGAATAGACTGTTTTCTGTTGTGTATTGTTTAGGGAAACCTTTTAAAATACTTCAGAACTTTCTGGTGTCTTGTGTGTGGGGGGGTTGTTATCTTAACAGCCAGAAGTCCTTAAGACTGCTTCGTGAATGGTTGTTACTTGTGTTTCTTACAATACTTGGATAGAGTATTCCCGTTGTTAGTAGTGCAGTTGTTTGGAGTTTTTTTGTTTGTTTGGGTGGTTTCTAATTGTAAGATGACGGTTTCTCCAGTTTGGAGTTCCTCTCTAAATATGGTCACATTCAGGTTGAAACCTCAAGTATTCTTAATTGAGTCACTTGTCGGTTAGTAGAACTGTATTCACAGTGCATTGTAGCTTTCAGCTATAGGAACTAGATAAGTCTGATTAGAGGTATAGCATGATAGGCTTCACAAATTGGGTCCCGATACAGTGAAGTCGCTTGATGGGGAATTCGGTCTTTTGTTTACAGCATCTTGTAGGACTAAGGTCTTTGTAGTAATAATTAGTATTTACGCTAAAATGACCAATACATGTCTCTAGAAGTGAATTGCTCTGACTCTTTTGCCTTTATCTATCAACAGCTTGTCCTGGTTGGTGATGGTGGCACTGGTAAAACAACATTTGTAAAACGTCATTTGACTGGTGAATTTGAAAAGAAGTATGTAGGTATGTCTGAAGAAACATTTGAGATCTAATATGTTAGAAGTGCAATTCATGACTTGCTAAGTGCACTGCTTTTTCTTATTACTATAGCAACGCTGGGTGTTGAAGTTCATCCTCTGGTGTTCCATACTAACAGAGGCCCTATTAAATTTAACGTATGGGACACAGCTGGCCAAGAGAAATTTGGTGGCCTGCGAGATGGCTATTACATCCAAGGTAAGATGTGTGTGTATGTGGGAATATTCTGCACCTCTTACAGTTCAATCTTTGATTCTATTCGTGTTGGCCACTCTGAAAGCTGTCAGTGTGGCTTGCAGTGATGAGCTGGTTTCTGGGTCTTCAAACTCTTCATGTAAATATAATAATATAAATATAGATAATAAATAGATAAATATGATAATAAAGCTAGGCAACTTGCGCTTATGTAGGAATATTCTAAGATTGTGTTTCAGTATGCTGTTGCAGGCTTTGGTGTTAATGAAGAGTAATGGTGCACCTTAAATGACAAGATATTGCTGATGAAATTCAGTGGTGAAGGGGTGAAAGTATGTGCTTCAGTTAGTACAGACTTCTATCTGTATTAACGTACTGTGCTGAGGCAAGGACTTGGAACACACAAACTGTAAAATTCTAGAAACGATGATGAAGTTGTACGTCTCCACGCCAGAGTTGTCTTTCTAAAGAAGTACTGAGTGTCCCTTAACTTCTGCTTGGCCAAGCTCTGTTCTGTGTGTGCTTCAGTCACCTGCATATCGTTAAGATTTTGCAAGGGATTATTAGTTTGACGCTGTTGCTTTTCCTTTAGAAGTATCAGGATTGAGTCAAGCCCCCATGTTCTTTGAAAAACTGTTCTGGACAAGGCTGTCCTGAGATGTGGACTACAAGCTCTCATGTAGATCTGGACTACTACTGCCTGAAAGCTTCAACAGGGTGTCTGAGATTAATTAAATAGGTGTTTAATTTCTGTCAAATATTTGTGTAACCAAAGCTGACTTCTGTATTCCCTGTATATTCTTATACCATGCAACACCATGTTACTCAGTGAGACAGTTGCATTGATAAAACTAGCTGGTGTTTAAGATCGGGCACTAAAAATGTGAGATGACGTGGCCGTGGGCCGCTTGCTAACAGAACGTGGGCTCTCAAACTGTGAAGCTGAGAGGGAAAAGTTAATGCAGACACTTACCCTAATGTGGGCTTTCTCTGGGTGCCTCTTCTGTCCCCCATCTTACAGGCAAGTGCTTACTCTCCTGATGTAACTCTTGACTATTCTTTTCTTGCAGCTCAGTGTGCCATCATAATGTTTGATGTAACATCAAGAGTTACTTACAAGAATGTACCTAATTGGCACAGAGATCTGGTACGAGTATGTGAAAACATCCCTATAGTGTTGTGTGGCAACAAAGTGGATATTAAGGACAGAAAAGTCAAGGCAAAATCCATTGTCTTCCACAGGAAGAAGAATCTCCAGGTATGTTGGCATGAGTTTGTAGGAATCAAATTTGTTGGGTGTGTTGCCTGCGGCTGGGTTCTATGTAGTAATCGAGTGTTCTGCCTTTGTCACTACAGGCTATAATATTGCAACTTCACATCCAGTTGGCCGCTTGAACCTAACTTCAGGGAAGGGGGAAGTGATGATGGTAAAGATGATCATCACTGGCCTTGAGCAGAAGCTATGATAAGCTCTTAAAGAGCTTGTGTGCATTTGGCTTTCACTGCTCAGAATCTCATCAGATGACATAGAAGTGAGACTAAAATATTTCAAGTCACAGGAGAAAGATAGATATGCTGTTGCCTCCTGAAAGTTCCATCTTTGATCAGATTGGATACCTTACTTTTCAGTTATCAATTTCTGCCTATTTGCCTGAAACTACATTTCTAGACACTTAGATCATAACTGTTTTTGAGAGCATAAACAGAAGTTGTGGTCAAAAAGAATACTAAGGTAAAAGTAGAGCTGATTATGTGCGTGTTAATCTTGGTATGCCCTAAATATCAGAGGTGTGGTGGTTGTTTTTTTAATAAGGTATAATGTACTTTTTTTTTTGCAGTATTATGACATTTCAGCTAAGAGTAACTACAACTTCGAGAAGCCTTTCCTCTGGCTTGCTAGAAAGCTAATTGGAGATCCTAACTTGGAGTTTGTTGCCATGCCTGCTCTCGCACCACCTGAAGTTGTTATGGACCCAGCACTGGCAGCACAGTATGAGCAAGACTTACAGGTAAGTGAGAAAGGGCACAAAGGTGAAATGAGTGCCTGATAAGTAGTGTTTTGGGCTCCTCGGGCAAATAGCTGAAGAACAGTTCTTACGTGTAACCTGTTTTTGTTCCAGATTGCTCAAACCACTGCACTGCCAGATGAAGATGATGACCTGTGAAGGGATGAAGCTGGAGCCCAGCGTCAGAAGTCTAGTTTTATAGGCAACTGTCCTGTGATGTCAGTGGTGCAGCGTGTTTGCCACTTTATTATCTAGCTGAGCAGAACATGTGCTTAATCTTTGGGATGCTGAAAGAGATGAATGGGCTTCGGAGTGAATGTGGCAGTTTAAAAAAAAAAACAAAACAAAAAAAACCAAAACAAAAACCTTCATATTTTGGACCTGCATATTTAGCTGTTTTTTGGACTGCAATTACTTCCCCTTTTGAGTTTCAAATATAAGACTGCTGCAGTCACATCAGAGTGTTAAGTGGTAAATCTTGTTTCTGTCATTCCCATTCTTTTTTGTTTAGATAATAAAGTTGTATTTCAAGTATCTCTAAGGAAGTGAACTTTCATGCATTGTTAGAAAAACTTCAGAGTGTCTTCTGTTCTTCAGTTGAGGCCAATACTTGGTTGTCTACTGCATTTCTCATTTTCTCTTCTCCTTTTCCCTCCTGCTTCTTGTGTTACGCTCCTCTTGCTAAATCAGAGCTAACAGTTAACCTTCCCTTAATTTCCTGACGCATATAATTAAAGCACCTGAGGAAAGCTGAACTAACTGCCAGGTAAAACTAAAGCAGTGAACACTTGACTGGTAATTGTGACTGGATCAACATTCCCGTGCAAATGGGAATGTCTGTGGTCTGCAGGGTGTCTTGAGAGAAAAGGGTGTAGTTCAGCTTGCATATGCTGCCGTTAGATACAGCCTCTTGACTCTCTTAACTTTTAGTAAGTTCTACAACGTGTCTTCACAGAGCTCTGGCTTTTTTAGTAGCCAGAAGCAAATGGCATTTAGGTCTGTTAGGTGACTTAAAAGCTGTATCTTTGCATGGAACATCATTCAGTAGAGCTATAGCTGATTAAACAAACTCTAAGCATCTTAAAATTCACTAACTAGAAAACAGCTGTAGTTGAGCTAAAAAGCTCTTGGCTACAAAACAGCATATTAACTAAAACCACGTTTATATAAATATTTAGACTTTACTGTAACTGCACCAAGTTCTTAATTTGAAACTCTAGCTTACTACAGCACAAATGGTGGAAAAACGTCAACTTTTAACACTATCTTGTAGAGGTTAATCTTGGTCAATATTAATACTGCTAGTAAACAAAACTATAAGATACCATTTTTCAGTAGTGTTTTGAGTACATGAAGCCTTGAACTCTTCAGTTTTGTATTTTTGGTTTCTTAATAAAGTGGAGCATTTCATTTATTCCTTTTAACTTGCATGTTTGTGTACGTAACTCCTTGAATATTTAACTACTCAACTGTTCTCATACATGGTAGCAGAAAGCGTGGACTCTGGTGATTACTTATGCGATGCTCTTGTAAAGGAACCATGTTTAAGTTAGGGCAGGTTGGAATTCTGTGGTTTGCTTTTGGTTTGTTTTTTACCTAGTCAATGAGAAGCTCGGCTGTGGTATTTAGGACCTGAAACTCCTTAATGAAAATAAGGAATGTCATACACTTAGTTGGTTGTTAAAGAAAAACAAACTCCCGCTTAACATTCCATTGAATCTTCTTGCTGTGCCATCTTGCTTTAACTTCATATTGTAGGTTCTTGCCTGTAGTGTTTACTAATTTACCTGTGTGTATCTTGGTTAATACCGCTAGCTTGACTATTTGCTGCTGCTTTACTAGATGTGGTAGCTTGCTTTTGTCTTCAAGCTGTCTCACTTCTGAAAATGTGCTACTTAAAAAAACAAGTTGATTTAGAATACTTTAGTACTTCTGCAGTATTGGTTATGCCTTAAGAAGAAAAAACAGCAGCACTGAAGTTATTTTTTTTTGTTTCATAGTGTGTGTATGGTGTCATCTTTACAACTTGCCTGCCGCACACAGGTGCTAGCCTTAGTACGAATTGTTACAAACCAGCTGAAAACTTACGTGAAACGGCTGTTTAAAGACTAGTTAACTGCTACGAGCTTTGCTTTGTAATCTTCAGTGTTACTTCCAAGTCCACAAAAACTCCTCTCTGAAGTAGGCAGTAATACTAGTCCTGCTGTAATCTCTTCAACTTGAAATGTTTTGGGAGTGGAATTAAGTCTACGTGCTGCAGCATTATACTTGGTTTGTCACCTTTAGTCCCTGTTAAGGCTACCTGCATTATTTATAATCAACAGTTAATATGCATGTGCAGATTCCTCAGTTGAAGTTCCTTAACACATCTAAGAAGTTTTTCACTAGTTGGGCTTAGGCAAAGTAAAATTCTATCTATTTAGTCAAGTAATGAGGAAAATGACACTCTAAGAACCTCTGTACTAAATAGTGAATCAGTCTGTATTGGAGCTCTACCGTTATCCGGACTGAATTGATGAGACTGAAACCCTTCCTTGCAATACTTGCTTCGTTCTACTTGCTCGGCTGCTGTACGGTTAGATCAGACTAATTGTAGGAGTTCTTGTGTTCCCTGCACACCGTTTGGTGAGTTTTCCCACACTAAGATCTGTCTCTGGTTTCAGATCGGTTTTTAGTAACTTGTCATTACAGACCATGCTCAGCTTTAACTTTGAAAAGCAGGACGAGGTGCTGGCCCGTTTACTGTTCCTGGTTCCGTGATAAAGCTGTTGGTTTTTAAGTGTCCAAGCCTGGAGGGTTGTATCAGAAGAGCAGCTGGAGGGCTAGCACATGTGCAAAATAGGTAAGGCAAAAGCATTAGTTAAGAAACTGGCAGAGGAAATGTCTTGCTACTTCTCACTGAGCCTCTAAATGAAGGAGTGTTACCGGCCTCCTCAGGAAAGCTAGGGTTGCCCGTGGACCTCTCGGGATTTCGACAGTCTTTTTTCAGAAGCATTGGAGAACGCTTCTCTGCGACGACTGGAATCTGTATGCCAAGAAGGTTGGAGTCTGCCCCTCTTGTGCCTGCAAGTTACAGTACAACAAAGCTTGTCTTTTTCCTCTAGAATTGTTCTGTTGTGTTGCTGATATGGTCTTGGTCTAAACTAGTGGAGAAAACGGTGCTGAGACAAAGTGTTCTGCCTCTGCCTTCCTAAAACCAGCACGTGGTTTGATCGCAGCCGGTTCCCCTGACCTGGATTGGCAGTGCTGGTCACTTCCTCTCACCTGCGTTTTGGCAACAGTTGACTGGGCCCTCCTGAACCGGGATCAATAGCAATGTCTTACAAGTAACTGGAAAGCTAAACCTGCTGCTGATGCTTCATCAGTTTGTTTTCACACGGGTGCACTAATTTAGGCTGGTTTTGTGTGTGTATGTGTCGGGTTTTGCACTGAGCAGAAAAGTTTGCCTTTAAGAAGAATTTCTCCTAGCACAAGCTGCTATATGAGCGTCCCATGAAGGAGTTCTTCCTTGTGTGTGTCCTGTAACACCTGATCATCTCTGCCAGCGGCCAAAACTGGGCAACATTTTAAGCTGGGGATTCGTGTTGGGAGAGTGTGAATGACTGTGCTGTCCTAGGCCAGTAGCTTTTTCAGACAACACCCAGATCCTAATGCTCTGGAAGCAGCTGTAGCGATTTTCAGTCTTCATTGCCCTCTGGCTTGTTTGTGACTGTCCTTGTGGTGCAAGCTATTGCCTTTCCAGCAAAGAGGGCAAAAAAGACAATTCCTCTGTCTGATTTAGAGCTCGCTTGTCTGCCTGGCAAATGAAGTTGAAGTTAAACTCGGAAGAATTTTATGCTTGAAAGGAGGGCTTAATATGATAAACCGTTGAACAGACTTAGTGGGACTTAACTGATGAGCCAAACCAGAGTCTCTTTATATAGCTCGTTATTGAATAATTGTAGGAGTGTTGAAACATAAGGCATGTTATTTATACCAAGGCTCTAGCACTGAGCTTAAATCTTCTTAGGCTACAGATGTGAGTGTACGAGGCAAATACTTTTAATTGGGTTGTGTGGGTAATTCTCTTTTAGTTCACAAAGTGAACAGGTTGTTCAATGACTGAATGACACTTCCCAAAATTCTAGTGTTCTACAAGCTGCATCACTGAAACGGGCCAATGTTCGTATGAGGGCGCCAGTTCAGCGTGGGAATAGGTTGGGGTTTATTTTGGGTAGCTGTAGTTGGTATCTGTCTTGCTGTGATCCTGGAATTTTGTGATGAAAAGAATCAGATTCCTGTATTTCTACTGCTTGCTTGAGGGGAAAACAAATGAGAAGATGAGGACAAATTTCCCCAAACAATGTTATAAACAGAATTTCATATTTTACGTAACAAGTTTTGATGTTTGATCCGCTATCTCTGAAGTTATGGATTTAATATATTTAGTGCAAGCATTCAAAACTGAATTTCATCAATACAGTTCCAGGTTCCTTGGAGGCAATGAGCTTGGTTTACTCTCAGTTGCCTATTTCCATGTTGATACTTTATTAATACAGACTGAAAAGGGCAGCTAAAACAAAACCTCTAAGTGTAGAGTCATAAACAGGAAGCTCATAGGGTTGTTGCGATCAGTATCATCTCAGAAGAAAGCCTTAACCAGTGTCCTTCCTGTTACGACCGTCGAAGTGGCAAACTCGCCGATCGCACTCCGAAGCATCGGGATCATTCCTGGTGCAGCTGTTTAAGTCTTCTGTACAAAGTGTAGTCAAAGCTCTTATGAGGAGCGGCTGAGGGAGCTGGGGTTGTTTAGCCTGGAGAAGAGGAGGCTGAGGGGAGACCTCATCACTCTCTACAACTCCCTGAAAGGAGGCTGTAGCGAGGTGGGGGTCGGTCTCTTCTCCCAAGTAACTGGCGAAAGGACGAGAGGAAATGGCCTCAAGTTGCGCCAGGGGAGGTTTAGGTTGGACGTGAGGAAAAATTTCTGTACTGAAAGAGTGGTTAAAGATTGGCACAGGCTGCCCAGGGAAGTGGTTGAGTCACCATCCCTGGAGGTATTTAAAAGACGGGTAGATGAGGCGCTGAGGGACATGGTTTAGTGGGCATGGGGGTGTTGGGTTGACGGTTGGACTCGATCTTAGAGGTCTCTTCCAACCTTAATGATTCTCTGATTCTAAGTGTTAAGCTAAAGATAGCAAATCAAGTGGCTAAGAGAAATGGTTCTTGTTTGCTTTGAACTTCCTTTTCAGGCAAGAGTTAGCTTGCGAGAGCCAGTGCCACAGTCCGATTGCCCCGTTGTGATACTAACTCCTATTGCTGCTACTTCATCAGCTTTTCGCCACACAGCAAGTTGCCACCGGTTTTGATGACTCTTTCGCATCTCGGTGACTTTTGAAAGTAGTGCTGGAGGGAAGCAACGTGGGTTTTGCTTGTACTGAGGATATAAAAGAAAGTTAACTTTCCTGCCAGGCTTTTTCAATGGATTACGTCATAAAAAAAACTTGTTAAAATTTCCAGATCTCAGGTTGGGTTTGCAGGGCAAGTATTTAGGGGAAGAACTCAAGCCAGAGAGGTTTGTTCCATTTCTAAATAAAAAGGGGGGTCATAATAAACAAGAAATCTCTGCCTGCCCTTTTTAGCATCACTTGTTGCCTTTTGATTCTGGATCTGGCATCTTTCTTATTTGGGTCTGGATGTTTTGTTTTACTTGAATACCTTAAACTGGTGTCTAGTTATAAAACTTATCTCAGACTATGGCAGACGAGGGCAGCAATTCTTCAGAAGAGGATCTATAACAGAGCTGTTTGAGATGCATCTGCCAGTCGGAAGTGCATAAGTTGTTGCCAGGTACGGGGGGCTTAAACCAGGTGAGAGAGGGTAGTTCTCGGCTCACTGGCTGAGCAAGTCTGATGCAGCTTAAAAAAAAACAAACACACAATCTTTGTTACGGGGATCGAGCGGTTACCGCGTAATCCTTTCCTCTGGCCGGCTTTGGGCTGGGCAGCGCCTGGGAAGACGGGGTCATTCCAGGCGGGAGCGAAGGGCGGGAGGTGCGGCGGGGAGGGCCGGGTTGCGGTACCCGCGTCGGGCTCCGCTGGCGGGGGGGCGGGCGACGTTGCGCCAGGACCTCTCGGGGTCGCGCAAGTCTCGCGTATGCGGGGCGGCAGCGGGTGCTGCCGGTAAACGCTTCGAACAGGGCCGGTGAGAGCTGGGGGTTCCTGTGCAGCGTTCTGTCCGTTGCAAAAGGAGATAAACCTACTCGGGCTTTTAATAGGGTTGTTTTTTTGTTTAAGTTAAATTCACTAAGAGTGTGAAATAGACCGAGACAGTGAATTACAGGAGGATTTTTTTGTCATCCTAATGCTGTTAGCATAGAAAAGCCTAGGCACTGCCATCGTGTACTTTCTCATTTTTTTCCTACTCTTCAGCAA